CTCAACTCATATATGAGCATTAAAATATTTTTGTATGAGCATTAAAAAGTTTTTTTTTGGTCTGAGATTTCTACAGTTCTATTCTGATTTTTAAAGTTCTTGCAATGTATTTACTGTATGCTTATTCTCTGAACTTTGACTTGTGATTTTTTTTTTTTTTAATTTTCCAATCTTAATTATTAAAGTTTGCTGATAGCATACAGCTAGTGGTTTTAAAGAGTGCTATTTTTTGTCATTCAGTACTTTGCTTTCTGGTAGAGAAAATGTGGTTTTTTGAAGGTTGAGCCTTCAAACCTTTTTTAATGTTTAGGTTTTTTTTTTTTTTTTTTTAATTTTTTCTTTTTACACCATTTTTTTTTTTTTTTTTTTTTTTTTTTTTTGAGCCAGGAATCAAATTAGTTTTTAGAGCCTAAGCAACCTCTAAAGTTATCTGTGATAGTTTCCCTCATATTTCTTAAGAATTAGTGAAAATATTGTTGTCTTTGATTACTATCAACTGCTGTAATTTAGCAGTCAGCATAACTTACATAGATAGACTTTACATGATTTTGTTCTTTTGAGATATTTAAAATTTAAATCTAACGTAGTAGAACATTAGTTACTGCTCACAAAATATAGTAGATTATTTTGGCGTGGCATTTAAAATACATTAGAAGTGATTAAATAAATTATGGTATATCCATACAGTTGTTGGATACTATATGCATTTTTGTATTTTGGGAAGAGCGTATTTGTTTTTATTATGTATCGGTTGTTTTGTATTAGGTTCATTTGATCCTTTCAGTGTTTATTATGAAAGTGATTCATTGATGAATATGCTCAGCCTAGGAAACTTGATTTTGGCCAGGAATGGGGTCTTGATCAGTTTGGTAAGCTGGTTAAATGAATGTTTCTTAAGGGAATTTCTACTGTAATGTGGTTTGTACTTCAGATATTACAGTGATATTTAGGAGATGACATTTACATACATAAAAATGATATATAGGCTTGTGGTTGAAATGAAGAATAATTGAAAGAAAGGATTCATGATAGTTAAAATGATCAGGAAAGACTTCCTGCAGGAGTTTTAAGTTGTGATAAAAGCTTTTCTTTTGAGAGGGTGCACCGTGAGCATGGATAATATGTGAGGGGGGAATGGACAAGGCATACTGGGGAAAAAATAATAGGTGTAGTATGCTTAGAGCTGGGTTTATGTAAAAAGTGATAGCAGATGCTTATAAAAAAATTGGAAATGATTATGGAGAACTTTAATATTCAGCTGAAAGAATCAAAGAATGTTATGATTGTTCATGTGGATGGGCCTTTAGGAACAATTTTACAGTGAATAATTTTACATGGAAGCAAGTTCATACTTAATTTTGTAGGCAGTAGAGCATCATAACTAAAAAAAAAAAAAAAGAAGATTTTTGAGTTAGGTTGTTTGAAACTGGAAAATACATATTTGGTCTTCAACCCTGTTTTCAGACATACAACTCCTAAAATTCTTAGAAACTCCCAAGTGATGTCTGTTAGAGTGCTAATGGGATGACTGTTGGCTGGCTGCCCCTAGGTAACTTTAATATGGGGCTGGTCACTTGAAAGATGAAGGAATGATAAGTGGGTTGGGACTTCTAGCCCCACCACAGGGGCTGAAGGTTAAGTTGATCACCAGTGCCCTGTTGTTTAGTCAGTCAATGTCTGTGCACTGAAGCCTCTATAGAAACTTCAAAGGACAGGGTTTGGAGAGCTTTCAGATAGTTGAGCACATGGAGGTTCTGGGAGGGTGGTACAATCGAGAGGGCATGAAATGTCCACGCCTCTTCCCACACACCTCACTCAGTGTGCGTCATTATCTGTATGCTTTGTAATATTATTTAGAATAAACCAGTTAATGTTTCTCTGAGTTTTGTGAACCACTCTAGCAAATTAATTGAACCTAAAGAGGGCATATGGGAAACCCATCTTCAAGCTCATGAGTCAGAAGTTCCAGAGGCCTGGGCTTGTGACTGGTGTCTGAAGAAGTGGGGCAGTCCTTGGGACTGAGCCCTCAACCTGTGGGATCTGATGCTGTCTCCAGGTAGATAGTGTTGGAATTGAATTAGAAAACACCCAACTGGTGTCCACTGCAGAATTGGTTGCTTTTTTTGTTGTTGGGAGAAACCCTCCACACATTTGGTCATAGAAGTCTTCTGTGTTGATTGTTGTTGTGGTGGTGTGAAAGCCTAGAAAAAAAACAATTTGAGTATTGGTTTTTTTAGGTATATTATTCTGTTGTTCTTTGTAGGAGTTGTAGAATTGAAAATACTGTTTGTCCTGTTTTAGGGTATTGTTGGGTATAGCAACTTGAATTGCAATGGTGACAAATAAGAAAAAAAGTAGAGATATTAATATGTGGAATCAGACCAAGAATAGTTAGTTCTATCAACAATTCTTTCACTGAATATTGGTCAGATAGTAGTAGGCTTTTAGGTAGAGTGTTTTGGTTCAGCAGTTTTAGAGTGCCTTGTATTAAACAAGTTTTTATTTTGGTATGGTATACTAGTCAGTTTCATTTGTCTGCTGGTGAAATGTTAAACTATATCGGATGGGAAGGAGAGCATCTAATGTAGCAGGAGCAGCGTTAATAGTGGCTTGGTGGCAGGAAATGGGTTGGAGTGTTGAGAAATTGTCAGCTGTTTTTATGGTTAGGGAGTTTAATGTGGTGTCAGGGCAGCTGGGACAGATTGACAGAGGCCAAATAACAAAGGGACTTTTTTGTTTACCTTTCAAGGAATATATATTTTTAAAATGTGGACAGTGGGGAATTTTTGAAAAGGTTAGTCTGTTTTTTTTGTTTGTTGTTGTTTTGAGATGAAGTTTTGCATTATCACCCAGGCTGGAGTATAGTGGCATGATCTTGGCTCACTGAAATCTCTGTCTCCCAGATTCAAGCAATTTTCCTGCCTCACCCTCTGGAGTAGCTGGGATTACAGGCATCTGCCACCACACCCAGCCAATTTTTGTATTTTTAGTAGAGTTGGGGTTTCACCATTTTGGCCAGGCCGGTCTCGAACTCCTGACCTGATGTGATCCTCCCTCCTCGTCCTTGGCAAACTCAGTTCTTGAACTTGATTTGGATGCTAAAACATTCCCCAAAGAAGTTTTTTTTTTTTTTTTTTTTTGGAGACAGGGTCTCACTCTGTTGCCCTGGCTGGGTGCGGTGGTGTGATCTCGGTTCACTGCAACCTCTGCCTCTTAAGTGCAAGTGATTCTCCTGCCTCAGCCTCCCAAGTAGCTGGAATTACAGGTGCCCATCACCACGCCTGGCTAATTTTGTATTTTTAGTAGAGATGGGGTTTCACCATGTTGGTCAGGCTGGTGACTCCTGACCTCAAGTGATCGACTTCCCTTGGCCTCCCAAAGTGCTAGGATTACAGGTGTGAATCACCACACCCGGCCACCAGTAGACTTTTTTTTTTCCCATTTAATCTTAGAAAAAAAGATTCTGCAGATATTAGAGTTTAAGAATGTCATAGCAGTTACCGTCTGCTATTTACCAGTGAGTTTGAATATGGAATAATATAAAATGTTACCTTCTCTTTAAAGCCTGCTTGTAGTTAATAGCTTTTCCCACATAGCCAAAAAGTGTCCACCTATCTCCTAAGTAGCCCCTCCATACTGCTTGTCAGAGTTCAGCTTTTATAATTGCTAATCTTTATGTTGTTATTATAAGAATAGAGGCCAAATCTACTGTGACAAAGCATTAAATATTTGTTTTTGAATAGTAATTAATTTGAATCATATGAAATGATGTACAATGAAGAATCTCTCTCTTATTTCTGTTCATTACTTCCCAATTCCCTTTTTTTGTAGACAACCAAAATTACTGATTTCTAGTGTAGTCTTCTAGGGATATTTTGTGCCTATACAAAATACAAAATATTTTGTTTTTACACCTCCCCGTTTATGCGACTATACCATACTTGATGCATTGTTCTGTATCTTTGTTCAATTAGTAATAATTTTGGAAATTGTTTCATTCACTATAGTAAGAGCTTTCTCAGTCTCTTTTTTGTAGCTGCATAATATTCCATAGTATAAACTTAGCATATTTCACTAGTATCCAGTTTGTTTGATTTTTAGGTTATTTCCAGTCTTTCGCTGTTAGAAGCAAGATTGTAGCTAATGACCTTGGTTGCATATTATTTCACATATATTCCTAAAGGATCAATTTATTGAAGTGGAATTTCTGTTCAAAAGCTCTGGGCACTTATAATTTTGATACAATTGTGAAAGTAGGGGTTAAATGAAGTGAAACTAAGAACTTGGTGTATTGTTTACCTACAACAGAAATTCTGAGAAAGAAATTTATAATTGCTAAACGATTAGTGAAATCTTTATAAAATTATTTTGTTTTGCAGGTATACAAAACTAGGATATGCTGGAAATACGGAACCACAGTTTATCATCCCTTCCTGTAAGTATTTTAAGCCACAAATGAGCTTATTTAAAAAGCTCTCCTTCCCTAATAATTTAAGTAAAAGAAGTAATCAGTTCTGACATCCCATATGATTTAATCATTTAAAAACATGGTTTGCCAAGTTCTAAGTGTGGCCTCATTTTCTTACCTCTGACCATTCATTTCAGCTTTCTGTTTAGCTCCTATTTGCCATGTCTACTAAATATCTCTTTTTAAAGCAAAAAAGAAACGAGCTGATACTGAAACAGTACCCCAGTTTTTGGGGGCGATATTGCAGTTAACAGTGTGTGGGTGTAACTAATTATCAACGGGTTCATTCCTCATCATATACCTATGAAGACTGTCCTTTGGTTTGTGGATATGACTGCTGTTTGCAGGGCCTGTATCTGTTGATGTCCCCACTGAGTGCCCATGTTTCAAAATAAGGATGGAAGGATAGTATCTCAGCTTCAGAGATGTTGACCTCAGCTGTTTTCTAATGTCCTATAACCATATTGTTGTATATCATGTCTTCAGAGTGTTTTTCTTTTATCCTGTTTTTGTTAATCTTGCTTAAGCTGACCATTAACTGTCTTTCAGTAGCTTTTAAAACATATTCTGATATTTGGATTGCTATTAGTGCTCTTGTTTGTTAGGATAAATTGTATGTCTGTTCCTTAATGAACATACTTTTTTTTTTTTGAGACGGAGTTTCACTCATGTTACCCAGGCTGGAGTGCAATGGCGCGATCTCAGCTCACCGCAACCTCCGCCTCCTGGGTTCAGGCAATTCTTCTGCCTCAGCCTCCTGAGTAGCTTGGATTACAGGCACGCGCCACCATGCCCAGCTAATTTTTTGTATTTTTAGTGGAGACGGGGTTTCACCATGTTGACCAGGATGGTCTCGATCTCTTGACCTCGTGATCCGCCCGCCTCGGCCTCCCAAAGTGCTGGGATTACAGGCTTGAGCCACCGTGCCCGGCCTAATGAACATACTTTTATACTTTTGACTTGCAAACAGTTCACTTCTTTTGTACGTAATGTAGTAACACTTCTGATCTATTTGTCTTACAGCCAGATTAAAACTTTCGCATATCAAATGACAAACCTTTTGAGCTATTGCTTGGGGGTCTCACTCCTAGACATTTTAATTTTGAGAGTGTCACTAATTTTTCACAGTCATAGTGATGGACTGAATTCTTTGTATTGTTATTCATTTATGAAAAGAAAATGGAAAAATGAATATGTAGAGAGTAATGAAAGCAGTGTATGTTTCAGAATAAATGAAGTTGAGAATAAGATAGGAATTGTTAGGCTTTGCCAAAAACTGCAGATCTTTAGTATCACTTGAGCACTCATTGGACACAAGAGGTCAACTGTTTTGTCATTTGTATAGTAAGAACAAGATTAAGTGTGTGACATTGAAGAATTACACTGTCAAAATTGCATCTAAAAGGGGAGATGTTTTTAGGGTTTTTATCCACTCCTCATTTTCTAGAAACAAACTTATTTGACTTTTGCATTTCTCATATTTTTGTATACTTTTCTAGGTATCGATCATGTAAGAACTTAGGCTACTACCTAAATCTAATGCTTTTTTAAAACTCAGAATGGATTTTAGGTGATACTGATGAAAAAGCTCATTCATGTGAGTCTAGTGGCCTTTATTGTTACCTTCTAAATATTTTATTCATGCATATTTATTGTCTGCTGAACTGAGGAAGAGGTTTGCTTTTCTTTACAGTTTTTCCCACATATCTACAATACATTGATTGTTTTTTATCTGTTTTAGGAATTCGGTGATACAGGTTGACTTTATTGCTGACTAATGTAGAGGTACTTCTGTGGGCTAGTTCTTGACTCAGTGGTATTTCAGTTTAGTGTTAGACCATTGTGTATGTACTTATTAGTTTCTTTAAGCTACTGTAACAAAGTACCAAAAACTGGGTGGCTGAAAACAACAGACACTTAAAATCCTGGAGCCTATAACTGCAAAATCAATGCATCAGCAGGATCATGCTCTTGCTGGTGGCTCTAGGAGAGAAACCTCCCTTCTTGTCTTCTAGCATCTGATGTTTCTTCAGGATCCTTGGCTGGTAGATGCATCACTCCAGTCACCTGGCTGTCCTCTTGCTGTGCATCTTTACCTCTTCATCCTTCTGTGTGTTTGTGTTCAAATTTTCCCTTTCTATAAGGACACTAGTTGTACTGGATTAGGGGCCACCTTGATAACCTCATTTTAGCTGAGAAGACCCTGTTTCCAAACATGGTTACATCCTGAGGTACTGGGGGTTAGGACTTCAACATATCTTTTTGGGGCTATACAATTCAACCTGTAACAGTGCTGGTGGTATGATCTCTTAACTTTTAATCTTTTGTGTATAATCTTTTGTTATGATTATTTCAGGAGACTACTGAAGTTATTTCTGCCATCTTAGCAAAATTGGTTTTGGTTGTGTTCTTATATGACTGTGTTAACTTTTTGTTGGAGGCCTATATAATCTTGAACTTTTGAACCGTTGGAGCTCATCACTGTTGAATCCATTTTTTATTTCATCTCTCTGACAAAATATGAAGTCTTTGCTTTTTTTCATGTCCTATGAGTAGTTACAGTATGTTAAAAATGCATTTGCCTACTGTAAGAAGGTTTTTGATTTTTGAGTTTTTTTTTTTTTTTTTCCTCACCCAGTTTTAATGCTGCAGGTACAGTGTTTATAATTAGCAGATAGAAACATAGCCACTATCTTTTACTGTTGGGTATTGGTATTTGATCTGGAAAGCCTATGCATATTGTTCAAGGTTTTTTTCATATACATTTGTATATATATTTAGGATATTTATAATGCGCCACCTGGATATCTATGTACATCATAAGTAAATTGCTGGAGAGAATTTCTAGCATTTAGAAGGACTAGATGTTGCATTTAAAATTTTTTTCCTCCAGTTATTTTCTGCCCACTTTCTTAAGGATATAGCTGTTACTAAATGAAAGTAACAGTTGAATGCCAGATTATGTGCATTCATACAATTATTTTGAATGAAGAACTGATCTTGAAGGATTCAGACGTTTATAACTTAATTTAAAAATACCTAACAAATTTTAGCTTTGAAACTGTATGCTGGATTTCTGAAATTATTTAAGGATATTGTTGTGGGTGTTACCTAAATCAATTGAGATTTCCTTTTGTATATGTAGTTTAACAGATCCGCATTACATTTAAATTACTAGACCACAATAGTACTTGCTATTACTAGACCCAATCAGTGTTACTAGACCCAATAGTGATAGGGTAGAGATATATGGAAAGTCTAAAAAATCCTCCTTGAATTTTTTTTTTTCTCATTTGTTAGTGTTTTTCAGTTTTTTCTTTCCAGTTGTTCATCAAGCATATGTGGAGTTGGTGGGACTATAGTTTTACTCAGAATCAAAAGAGAATTTATATAATTTTAAAAATACATGTTTGAAACATTCGCACAGCTGTTTTTTGGCTTTTTGCATTTGAGGACTTGCCTCTGAGTGGAAACTGTGGTTTTGTGTAATGAATTTTGTCACTGGTTTCTTATGACTTTTGTGAATTAGTTTGACAATTTAAATATGCTGGGTCATGTTTTACTTTGTAGTACTTTGTAATGGAAGAAGTGTAAGGTAAAAGTTTGTCTTATTTGAAGAAAATGAGCTGTTTGACACGTCTAAATAACTTATTTTAAAGGTATTGCTATTAAGGAGTCGGCAAAAGTGGGTGATCAAGCTCAAAGGAGGGTGATGAAAGGTGTTGATGACCTAGACTTCTTCATTGGTGATGAAGCAATAGAAAAACCTACATATGCAACAAAGGTATGTTTTTTTTGATTTGTATAAATAACACTTCCAAAAATTAGTTTGTTCAGTGCTTATGCCCTCTGGAATTCACTCTGTAATAGGCCTTATTAATACCCTTAAACCTCTTCTCATAGAAATTTCTTTTTCCTTGTGGCACCCCTTCCCTGTTGCTTTAACTTTGCTTTTTTTTTTTTTTTTCCCTCAGTAATCCCTAAGAAGAAAATTTTAGCCCTTTCAAATTAGCAGTATTTATTTTTCCACATCCCCTGGATCTCAGGGCCCTCAATAAAATTAGCTTTCCCTTACTTCCACATTGCTACTTCTGCAAATATTTTCTTCCCGTCTTTATTCAAACCTATACCATTTTTCTCTGTTTGAAGTTTATACTATCTGGAAGTGCTATTCTCTTTCCTGTTTTTCTCTTCCCCTTTTCCTTTTCTGCCCTTTTCCCTTCCTCTTTTAATTGAAGTATAAGTATGTAAGTGTTAATTATACAGTTGAATAATTTTATGATTGTAATCATAACAGGTAAAGATACAGATCAAATCTAGTAACCCCGAAGCTTTCCTTGTGCTGTTCACATAGTCACCACTCCAATTGCACCAAAAAAATAAATGCTATTCTGACCTTTATCATCTTATTTTTTGACATTGACTTTGTCTGATTTACAAATATCTTCCTTTGTACGTCTTCCCTTCTCATAATTTATTCATTTATGAACAACTACCATGTGTAAAATACTTTGCCAAGTGTCTAGAGTAAAACGGTGTATAAGAAAAATAATTTCCCTGACTTCAAGGCTATTATAATGTGGTGGAAAGGAAGACATTGAAGAAATAATTACAATTGTGATGAGGGTTAGAGAAAGGGAGACACACATAGAGTGCTCTGGATATGTATCATAGGAGTAGCTAACCTAGTGTAGGGATTCAGGAAAGTCCTCGAGGAGTAAACCTTTAAGCTGAGTCTTGAAGAATAAAATAGCAGTTAGCTGGTGAGGTTGGCAGGCTGAGTTGTTTTAGATGGAGAAGCCGATACATGAAAAGGCTTTGCAGCATGAGGGAGACTAGAAGTGCATGAGCGATATGCCTGAAGCATGGAGAATGAGGTAGAAAGAAGTGTAGAGGCTGGATAGGTAGGCCAGGAAAGAGCACTGGAAATATTGTTAGACCATGTTAAAGAATTTGAACACTTTTCTATAGGCAACATTAATGGGAATACCTAGAGGAATACTTTTTGAGCTTAAAGTGCAAATATTGGAATCTACCTGTTGGAACTTGAATCCTGGCTATACTAATTTCCAACTTTGTGATATCATTCAATGCCTTAACCATTTTGAGTTTTGATTTCTTTGTCTGTAAAATGGAAGTATTGTTAGTACTTCAGGATTTTTTTCTTTTCTTTTTTTTAAGACATAGTCTCTGTCATCCAGGCTAGAGTTCGGTGACATGAATATGATTCACGACAGCCTTGATGTCCCAGGCTCAAGTGATCCTCCCACCTCAGCCTCCCAAGTAGCTTGGACTATAGATGTGTGCCGCTATGCCCTGCTAATTTTTTGGTAGAGACGGGGTTTCATCATGTTGCCCAGGCTATTCTTAAACTCCTGGGCTCAAGCGATTTGTCCGCTTTGACCTGCCAAAGTGCTGGGTTTACAGACCTGAGTCACCATGCCTGGCCCAGGATTGTTGTTACAACGCTTCAGGAGATGTGTATAAAGAAATTGTTATACTCTGGTGCTTTGAACATAATAATTACTCAATATATGTTGGCCATTTTTACATAGAAAAGATTACTCAGGCCACATTGACAATGAAGAGAAATTATTTGGGTAAGGTAAGCATGATTCTGGGAAAACTAGATAATTGACTATTGCAATAGTCTAGGCAAGAGATATTAGTGACTTAGACTGTAGTGATGGCAGTGGGGATAGAGAGAAATGGAAATTGTGTATGTGCATTCACACACACAGCTATTTAACTTTTATTTTGGAAAACTTCATATGAAGAAAAAGAGAAAAGAATATAATGAACCCCCACGTGCGCATCACACAACTTCGGCGGTTTTCAATCTATGGACAATCTCATTTTGTCTATAATCTTCCTATTCCAACCTTCAATTATTTTAAAGTAAATTGTACATATTATTTCACTTACAAATACTTCCCTCTTAAATATGAAGACTTTTAAAAAAGATAAATATGACACCTAAATTTAGTATGCAGGTTTTTAATACTGTCTGATATCTAGTCATTGCTTACATTTCTCTGATTATTTACTACTATATTGGTCATTCTGTTTGAATAGACATTAAAATGTCATCTACTCACTAGGTTTAATTGGTAATTCTCTTATGTCTCTTTTTATCTATAGGTTTTTTTCCTGTGTGTATGTTTCTTTTCTTTTTTGTTCTTGCTGTTTATTTATGGAAATAAAACTTGGGTGTCTTGTAAAATTTTCTGTATTCTAGGGATTCTGATTATTACATCCTTATTGGGTCATTTAACAGGGTACCCTATTTCCTATATTTACTTTTTTTGTTGTAAATGGTAGTTAAATAGAAGTCTGATTAGATTTGTGAGAGGTTTTTGTTTGTTTTGACAAGGAAAAAAAGTGGATAATTAGAGTAACAGGGCGTGGTTAATGAGATATTGGTGATAAACTAGGCATATCAGTCAAGGGTGATTCCCAGTTCATAATAGTCTGTTTATCCCTTATCTGCTGCGATTGAGAATGTTAAAGGAGAAACTTC